GCCGATTGGCCGAATTGAAATATAATGCAGACTCAAAATATAAGTATTTGATTATCTTCCAATTTTGACCATAATTTTTACTTACTGATCGAATAAGGACAAAAAAAAAATATGGCAAAGCATCTACAATAGTTTCTAAGGGATTGGCAAAGTGATCTTGGCTTAATTGGACTTAAAGGTTTGCTTCCTTCTGAGATCTCAAGTTCGATTCTTCTTGCCAGTAACTTTTGGGGTCACCTCACTCCCATGCTCAAACATGTGAAATAGCTGTGAGAAAGGTTGTAGGAATTAGTCCGAGGTGCGGGTAAGCTAGCATGGGACGCTCTGTATTACCAAAAGAAAATTCAAAAGTATATTTGGTGGTTTAAACCTGTCCATTGTATTCTTCTAGTAGGGTGATTCTCAGCAGTACTATAAATACCAGGTTTCTATAATTGTATCCCAGTACTCTTCTATAACAAAACTTGTAAGATATCAGAATATCTCTCTCTCTCTCTCTCTCAATAGACATAATGGCAAGAAAGTCAGATCCTCTAGTGGTTGGAAGAGTGATAGGAGATGTTGTTGATAATTTCTTTGCAAGTGTGAAAATGAGTGTCACTTACAACTCCAACAAAAAGGTGTGTAATGGGCATGAGCTATTTCCTTCTGCTGTGACCCTTCAACCCAGGGTTGAAGTTCATGGAGGTGATTTGAGGTCTTTCTTTACACTGGTACGTACATATTCCTCTCTCTCTCTCTCTCTCTCTCTCTTGTATTTCTAATTGGATCGAAGTTGAGCCCCCATTTATGTGCCACCATGCAGATTATGACAGACCCGGATGTGCCTGGGCCTAGTGATCCATACCTGAAGGAGCACTTGCACTGGTATGCCCTTCTAAATTATGAATCGAGAGGAATTCATGTGTCCATATGCGAAAATTCTAAGAACTCATTTGAGGAAAAAAATTAGCTTTTACAAGCAATTATTAGTGTTTGTCGGAAATTATTGTCAACAAATTTTAGGATATACTGAAAATTCAGAGGAAGACGTTCTGAGAGCCTAGGATTTGGAGTTTGAGTGGACAGAAGATACTTCTTAACTAAAGATTTAATGACATCATCTATTGTTTTTTTATCTTTGTAACAATTTCAATGATTAATATAAAAAAATTGTCCTTAAAATAAAAAAAAGAAGAAGAAGAGAGAGAGCCTCTAGGAGAGAAGAAGCAAAATCACATTTGTTTATTTTTGAATGGTCATGTCAACAAAAAGGATCTTTAAAGGAAGAGAAGTAAAAGGGCCACACGATTATTTTTAATTTTATTTTTATGATGGAATGGACTACGCCATTTTGAAGTAGATTTCTCGAGAGGAATGGCTCTTCAACTAGACAAGTCATCTACATGAAATGGACAATATTCTAAATTCACAAGAAATAAAGGAAGTAGTAAATTCGCTAGTCCTAATGCCTCTTCAATTTGTCACATAGGTAAGTAAATTAAGTATTTGGTATTAAAATTCGCTTCTCCTCTTTTTTTTCTCGGCAAAAAGAATTTTATTTATCTTTATAAAGGATTATAAAGATTAAACGGGGTAAGGACATCCACACCGTCAAAAATCACACAAGATGCCAATCAAAACAGAAAGAGCACGTCAAGGAAAAAACCTAACTAAAAACACCCAAAAACCTAAACGAAACACCAATGACAAACCTCAACCCACGGCTACAAGCGAAAGCAAGGCCACACCTTACAAATCGCTTCTCCTCTTGGAGATACTCTAAAAAGTTGATTTTACAGAAGTTAGTTGTAATTTAAGAATCTTCAACAACGTCGTACTACTAATGTTTAATTCCAACTTGCTTTTGGCCAACCCACAGGATAATCACTGACATTCCAGGCACAACTGATTCCTCTTTTGGTATGTGTTCTCAATTTCTCTTATTTTTTCTTGGGAAAATGTGTATTCCCAATTCCTATTACCCTAGAGAGAGAGAGAGAGAGATGAGGAGTATTTAACAAGCGGGTTTTTATATTATATATATATACACGTACACACGCAGGGAAAGAGGCAGTGAAGTATGAAATGCCAATGCCAAACATAGGGATCCACAGGTACGTATTCGTTCTGTTCAAGCAAAAGAGAAGACTGCTGGCAGTGACCGGTTCCACTTCAAGGGATGGATTCAGCACCAGAAGATTTGCAGAAGAGAATGGTTTGGGGCTCCCTGTTGCTGCTGTTTTCTTCAACGCCCAAAGGGAAACTGCTTCCAGGAGGCGTTAATTATACGCGTTAATCAATCATCGTGAACATTCGAACACGAAAGCAGTTTGATCGGGTCTATGATCACTTGCTAGCTAGCTAGAAGTTAATCTATAAGCTAATTGAAGTAACTAATCCTGTAATAAGTGTAATGTATTTGGCAGTTCATGGATTCAGTAGTTGTTGATATGCCCATTATCTATGGAGGACTACTGCTCTTCAAGCATGCATGTAATGAAAAACACTAGTTGAATGTGCAATGCAATTTGGGGAAATTCACCAAACTAATACGAGCAATGGTACGAGCTAGGTCACATTTTGTTTTCGAACAATTAATCTCGCGTGACGCATAAACAGTTAGGTTAAATGAACTTCACATTTAATAGCCGCACCAATAAATGGTACCTACATGTGGTACTCAAAATGCATTGCCCTAGTATTTAGTGAAAGAGTACGATCAGTTAATTACAGCAATGACATCAATCATTTATCAATAGAGAGTTTATAAAGCTAGTATGCTCTTTATTAATTGTAGGAGGACACGTAATATTGTTGCGTAGTGTCACCGCCACGATGTGCTCATTGACAATGGGAAGTCGGGCAATTTCTGATGATACTTGTTAAAAATTGGAATTCAGATTTCATTTAATTTGAGCTCGTCGTGCTCATACGAGATAAAGCACAACTAAATCGAAGCGTTTGTAAAAACCAAAGAAACTAAAGTTTGAACATTTCTAAAGAAAAAGACGAGTGGTAGGATACATGAAGAAGGAACATGAAAGTGTCTATGTATCACAGCATCACAACATATATGAAGAAAGAACACTCAATGCAAAGTGAATCTGAGTTGTTCATTTTTCTTTCATGAACACCTTCATATTCCCAGTGTCACGTGTCACAGCATCTTTAGAAGGAAAATACCCTTTCAGTTTTTCAATCAAGAAAAGAAAATTATGAATACCTTCTGCATCTCATAATGTCAGTTTCTTTTTCACAATTTTTAGAGTACCCTTTTAAAGAGATGAGTAGAAAATACCCTTTCCGTAATGGTGATGTATGGATGGGATAGGGAGCTATTTATGAGTCCGAGATTAGCTTTGTTAAACTGGGGGCAATGGCCGCATGTGCTACTTATGGTTAGGCAACTATTTTCGACTCCAACTAGCTTGTTAACTTGCCTAGTTTTTAAAGGTCTCTCTCAGTAGAGTACTCCCATCTCTCTGCTTCTGCAGATTCTTTTTTGACTTGTCAGTTAATTAAAGCTTGTTCCAACTTCCAACTGTCATTTAGGAGTGATTACTTCTTATTTTTCAAGAAGAGATAATTTTAAACTTAAAAATTATGTGCTTAAAAATTATGTGCTTACGTAAATAATTTTTTTTATCAATATGAATCTTGTTTGATAGATCTCATTGAGGTTTTTTATACGGTGCAAAAAAAATTAAAAAATTAATTTTCATTTACATTATTTTTGAGTTTGAAAATATGAAATAAGTACCTACTTTTTAAAAATGTGTTCTGAAACGGGGTCTCAGTGCCGTCGGGCACGTGGTTTTCTCAGGACCTCCATTGCCACACATCCACGCGGAGTTTGAAGCTTGGTCTTGGGCCGCCTTTGGAGTACTGCATGCGATGCTCCAACACCAATAAACAATTTTCCATCGAGAATATCTTTTTTACGGAGGATATATACCGTGAAAATGGGTTTACGGAGCCCAATCGCGTGCGTCCAAGGTGTTTTTAGACGGTCCGGATTGAAAACAAATTTTGATCGGTAAGAAATAATTTTGACCGGTCAAAATTAAAAAACAATATTTACCATTAATTGTTGAAATAAACGGCTCCGATTGCACAAATTTACGTAAGCCGTGAACAAATTTCTCTCTTTTTCATCATGTAGGAATTTTTGTACATCTCATTTGTAACGTGTAGAAATAATAATAATCATAAATGAATTACATTTTGCTCCAGTTGTCACTTTGCTATGAGATTGGAATGGCCCATGAAAATGAAATAAGGAATCGCGTGATTCTTTTCATATGTGATGATTTCATTAACCAGACTAATACAGTTACAAGTGTAGGTTGCTAAACACAGCCCCACCCGCGGGCCACCACTACACGGCGGCATATCTTTTACCCTCCTCATCACATGCGAATGGAGTTGTTGTAGTGCGGCAGTTGCACTACTACGTGTATCTTAATCTTAATATAAAGGGTTCGGATTTAATTCGAACTCCTACAAATTCAAGTCGTTCATTGTTCGGATAAAACTTGGATGAAAATTCAAACCGTTCATTGTCAAGATGAACGACCGAATGGACCGTATTACACGTGTAATCAGAATGCACTACATTGATTTCAGATTAGAACATGAATGATGTGGCTTTTTCAGGGGTGTGTACCTTCTTCTTTCTTTTCTTTTCTTTTTTTTTCACTACTACAAAAATAGATAAAGATCTCAGTCATCTGGTGCGATCTTTCACTTTTAATCTCGCATTCAAAATCGTGGTCTATCAAGGTGTAACTAAAACTCTTTATCTTTTAACTACAAGATAAAAACCGTGGTTAAAACTCATTAAAATTGTGACAAAAAAACATGAAAACTGTGATTAAAATGACAAAACCGTGACCTTTGATAGCTTAACATCTCAGTTTTATTTCAAAACTGTGGTTGTTTATAGAGAAATAATCTCACTTTTTGAAAAAACCGAGATTAAAAGTAGTGTTTTTCCAAGGGAAAAAATCCTACTCCATTTCTCCTATTGGGTTTTGAACCCAAGTCTTTTGAGTTTTATATAAAAGTTTTAACCAACTCCACCACACACACACTTTTCAATATATAATTGAAATATTTAATGTATATAACATATGCGTTAACTTACTACCTCAGTTTTTTGATGCCTGAGATTAAAGGTTTTTTTTATCTCAGTTTACTAAAATGAGATATATTCTTTCATATACAATCTCAGTTTTTCAAGAACGAGATCTATTCTTTAAGTTACAATCTCACTTTTAGATTACTGAGATTAAAACTTCTTTTCACCTCAGTTTTTTTCTAAACGAGACACATTCTTTCATATATAATCTCAGTTTTTTGAAAATGAGATCTATTCTACAAGTTACAATCTCACTTTTTAGATTATTGAGATCACAAAATCTTTCTATTTCAGTTTTTTCGTATAATTGAGATTAAAATTATAGTCCATAACATTTTATTACGCTTTTACAAAAAGTGAGATTTTTTTAGTTTTTGTACCGTGATCTTTATATCATTTTGTAGTAGTGTTTCGGTTGTGTTCTAGACCTTAGTCGCATAATCTTCAACTAGTAACATAATATATTAAAATATTTTCGCTCTCAATTTTCGCATCGTGCTTGCATTCTCCTTCTTTGCCCTTGCAAAGTTAATTTTGGATGTATTTCAAAACAATTTCTGCTTTGTTTGGATTGATATTTGAAAAGTTTTTTGAAAAATAGTAGGGGTAATAAGTGGAGAGGGATAGAGAGAAAAATATTGAAAGTAGGAGGAATTTGAGAAAAATATTGGAAGTAGGAGGAATTTAGGTGGAATCTAAGGGGTATTTTTTAAAAAATTCTTTTTAAGTTGTAAAGAGAACAAAACAGTTCACGTTTGCGCTATTGCTCATACACTTGGCCCCAATTATTTACTAGCTTGTTTCTAGGCCACTGTAATCTTAAAAGCAAGTACTCGTACCTTAATGAAATGATGACTCGTACGATAATACAGTCAGCCTGGGTTTGTTGCCCCTATATCAACCGCAAATGTTTTTTTTTTTTTTTTGTTGTTGTCCTTTTTTGAATTTCTTTGAATGCATAATTACGTAAATTTTCATCCTCGCAACTCTTCAAGTTATGTTTACATTCCTTTACAAATGATTTCCCTTTTTTACTCTTTCGTTATGATATACATATAAATTAAATTATGTTTTTAATCATGGTGGGACTGCAGTAATCACAATTATCGATAATTAGAGAATTATTTTGTAATAGTGGAGGGTATTTAAAGCGTGCGATTGATATTGTTTGCTTATGTAACGACTTTCAGAGTATTATGATTCCATCCCAAAATTTAAACACCATTTTGTCACACCACGCAGAGTGGGTGTGATTGATCCATCATATTCACACCGCGTGGTAGGTGACTGTATTTAAACACTATTTTGTCACACCACGCGGACAGATGTTTTACGAAGAGGAGATGATGACGACAGTAAAAGGAGGGTTGTAGATGCTCTTACCCCTTGGACAAGTGTTTTACGAAGAGGAGACGATGACGACAGTAAAAGGAGGGAGGGTTGGAGATGCTCTTATCGGTTGGACAAGTGTTTTAAGGAAGGACGAAGGTGGCCTGGATGCTAAAATTGGACAAGTGTCTGACCAGAAGGTGAGTTAAGGATCCTGGCCCTCCTATCCTAATCCTATCCCACCCCCTTGGCCCATGCAGTCATAAGAAAAGAAACTTTTCACAGCGTACCGTCCGGCGCCTGAAGCGCTTCAATTGTGGAGTAAAGTTCCCTGCAAATCATCTTCTTTCTCTTCATTATTTACTCCTCCAGTACTGCTACTTCTGATGAGAGACACCTTTCGAACATTAAGCCCACTGTTCCTCTGTTTTTGATAAAGTTGATTGATCATTACGAGGATCTTTTTCCCACTTTTCAAACAGATACTAGTGTAGTACTATTATTAAAAATAAATACCCCATCTGTTCCAAATTCTTTATTCGGTTCGCAAAATGGAGTGTTAAAAATAATATAATTTTTGTTAGAAAAAATCAAAAGTTTTTGAACAACCTACTAGATATCAATGAGTATTTTTAATTTGAGAAAAAAGTTTAAATTTTTTCTTGAAAAATTATATTATTTTTAACACTCCGTTTTGCGAACTGGACAAAGAATTTGAGACAGAGAGAGTACAATATTATGAGTCCGATTAGCTTTGTTAAAAATTTCGAAACACCCTACGAATTCTAAAAGAGCTTTTATCGACGTCGGATTGTGCTGATTTTTTTTAGGAACCCATGATTTTTAAAAAAAATATAACTTGCGGTTTGAATCATCTTCGTAAGACCCGTAATGAGTCCCACAAAAATTAAAGAAAAATACAAAAGCCTCCAAGGTCAACAGAATCTTTCAATCTGTGACTGTGAGAATTTTACCCGCTATATTTGGAGGATCGGAGGAAATATAGAGGAAAACCTCCAAAACACTATATTGTTCTAAAATGAGTGTAACTTGTAATTTGTGGTATACTATATTTGTCATCTATTTGTTACTATAAAATTCATACCATTCAAAAAGAAAATATCATCATCTTTAAAACAAGACCAATCATAAAAATTCAAATTGTAGAGGGAAAGAGTGAAATATTTGAGTTTTTGAAAAATAGAGATAGAAAGTGGAGTATGAGGTTGGAGTGAGCATGAATAGTAAATTCCTTCATAATCAATTTTTGAGTAAATTACATTATTTTGATACTCTCAAGTAGAGTATTAGGTTGGAGATGCTCTCAAGTTGAGAGTATCAAAATTTCTTCTTCTTCTTTTTTTTTTTAGCATTTTACTCAAAAAGTAATTATAGAGACAATTACTTATTTATGTATAGCTATCATTCCTAATCTCTTTTTTTTTTTTAAACTCGAAAAGGAGAGGTTTTATTGCTAAATCAAAAGGGGCCAATGGCCAATAGTTCTTACAACCAAGAGGGTGGAGATGCTCTCAAATTGAGAGTATCAAAATAATGTTTTTTTAAGCATTTTACACATAAAATAATTATAGAGAAAATTACTTATTTATGTATAACTAGCATTCCCTTTTCTTTCTTTTTTTTAAACTCGAAAAGGAGAGGTTTTATTGCTAAATCAAAAGGGACCAATAGCCCGATAGTCCTTACAAGCCAAGAGTGAAAGCCAAGAGGGGATGGGATATTCTCTCACCAATTTTCTGTCCCAGCTATAAATAGGGAATGTTTTGCCATAGAATCGGCACACGACCCTATTACAATCACACTTCACATGTGAAAAACACAAAAAAAAAAAAATGGGAAGCAAGCTTAATACAATCCAAAATAATAGAATCACAATCTGCAAAAGTCTTCTCTCTCATGATAGCTTGAACTACGTGTTTGGCATCCCCTTCTACTTCAATCCATGTGAGGTTACGATTCAAGTCTTCGGCTCAGTTTGGATGATAGAAATCTTGAGGAGGAATGAAAATGTGATACTATACTTCCATGATTTCAACGTTTGGAAGGAACATGAATAGGAATGTGATGCCGCACTCTCAGGATTCCCATGTTTGGGAGAGACATGAATATGATTGTAATTCCTAACGACACATCCAACCTGAAATCACATTACCAGATAGAGTGGAAATTTTATTCCTCCCTTACCCCATGGGAATCTTAGATTCATGGCTCAATCAATAAAAAAAAGGAAATATTGACTTTGATAATTTCCAAAAAAATTAATTCCTGTAGAAGATTACTGAACTAATCCAAACACTGGAATGAAATTACTTCAGGTATCGTATTCCTAGAAATTTCATTCCTAACAATCATATTTCTATTCCCACTCAATAAAATTTCTAGGAATTTGATTCATAGGAATTTGATTCTTAGTAATCACATTCCTATTCATATTGAAGATTCCGGTTATCCAAACTGAGCCTCTATTAATGCAAATCTGAATCCAATGGCTTCGATAACCCGCGGGGAAAATTGTGCATACATAGATTGAGAAGCAAAATCATTAGCCTAATTCTAATCTACCAAAAATAAATAAATAAATAAATATATATATATATATATATATATATATATATATATATATATATATATATATATAAATAAATAAATATATATATACGAGCAAAGTTGCTTGGTCAAATAGAATAAGGCTAATGATTTTGTTTCTTCATATATATATATTAGATCTAAAGGAAATAGGAAAAATAATTTTAGAAAATCTTGACCAAACTAAAGATTCACAATGAAATACAAAAATGGTGCAATAAAACTATGGGTACACCATTTGGTGTACACCGCGTCGTGTGGGAGCTATTTCAAGATTCTAAATAAATTATCAGAGCCGCTCAATTTGTTTAGAATGTTTTTGAAAAATGCGTACTAAAAATCAGTTCAGTCGGATATCAACAAGGGTTTGATCATTCTTTTCTTAATTTCTTGTCAAAAAATTGAGCAAATAACTTATTCAGCGCTTACCCAAATCCAAATGTGTTGGTCTTTTTGTACGGTTTCATAAAAAAAAATATTTTAAAAAAATTGAGTGGCTCCGATCATTTATTTAGAACCCGAAAGTGGGTCCTACACGACACATAGTACATTTGGTGTACACCCTAATGGTGTACCCTTTCTTATTTTTAGTTTTCGAACTTTAGTTTGAAGGTAGTCTACTGGGCAATGATGAATTCTTGAAACTAATGGGGTTTTATATCTTTGGTTTTGAAATTTATTTTTTAGTTTTTCAACTTTAGATTGAAGGTAGTCTACTGGGTGATGATGAATTCTTGAAACTAATGGGTTTTTTATTTCTTTGGTCTTGAATTTAATGGGCTCACTTCCAACCAAATATGGAAGACACCAAATCAAGACCACCACCTTATTTTCTGGCCCAAGTCATTGAAGACTTGAGGCCTTCTTCCACATTTGAGTCTCCTCTTTGAAATTGCACCCTGAAACTATCAAAAGTCAAAACTACATGATAAACAAAAAAACTCTCAAAACTACCCAATTAGATTTGGCTTAAAATTCCATAGAGAGAGAGAGAGAGGCGTCAAGCAGGAGT